AGGAATGCCAGAGCCAGTGAGCTTTACTGGTCTTTAATCATAGAATCATAGAATCATTTAGGTTGGAAAAGATCTTTAAGATCATTGAGTCCAACCGTTAACCTAACATTGCCAAGTCTACCACTAAACCACGTCCCTAAGTGCCACATCTAAACTTCTTTTAAATGCTTCCAGGGATGGTGACTCAACCACTTCCCTGGGTAGCCTGTTCCAACGCTTGATAACACTTTCAGTGAAGAAATTTTTCCTAATATCCACTCTAAACGTCCCCTGGCACAACTTGAGGCCATTTCCTCTTGTCCTATCGCTTGTTACTTGGGAGAAGAGACCGACACCCACCTTGCTACAGCCTCCTCTCAGGTAGTTGTAGAGAGCGATAAGGTCTACCCTGAGCCTCCTTTTCTCCAGGCTAAACAACCCCAGTTCCCTCAGCCGCTTCTCATAGGATTTGTTCCCTAGGCCCTTCTCTAGACCCTAATTATGCAGCCAATCCTACCTGCCCTTTTGGAATAGTGCCAAGAGGTAGAAATCAAGGTCAGTGGACCCTATCCATCCATTTTAGGACTTCTGACTGTTACACAGCCCTGCTGACTTAAAGAGATTTATCCTGGCTGGGTGCTGTTTAACATTCAGCTTAAGACATACAACCAATTTTCACTGCTAGAGGTGACAAGCAATAACGTCAGACACCAATAAGAAAGCAAGCTCCACTCTACTGGTTCTGTATCTCTTCATTCGGGCAGATTCGAGAATGATTAATATTTTGAATTATATTTTTAGAACTATTAGCATTTTTAAGTTAAAATCAAACCAGAAAAACATAAAAATGGCAAAGAACGTCAATGTACCAAAGATGACCCTCATCCTGCGTTACCTTTTTTATCCTCTATCAGCTTTTCCTTGAGAAAAGATCAAAGAGCATGATGTAAACTTACTGAAAAAGAAGTCAACATGAAATTTTAACAGGTAAATTGCCTTTGAGAAAGTACTGAAAATCCTACCCGTTAATTTATAAGAAGGATATCATATTCTATCTTAGGGCAGTTTGCCATTCACCACATGGATATATATATTACAATGCCAAGGCTTTTACCAAACATCACCTTAACCACATCCTCTAAATGATGACCTACTTAGATATTTTCTAAGATTAAACAACTCTGAAAGCCACCGTTTCTGTGTTTTCACACACCTACCTCCCCTGGCACCTGAAGCCCGGTTTCCCGCGCTCACAGCAGCCTGTTCCCAATCCAGGCCCAAAAGGGGTGCGATCGGGGAGCACCACAGCCCAGACACACACGGACTCACACTCGTGGATGTCACACCTGTCACAGTGCACGCTAACTCCCCTCTCACCCCAATACACCCATCCATGCTGCTTTCAGTCATTAAGCTTAACCAAGTGTAATCTTTGAACTCCTCCATGGTCTGCAGCCATCTCCTTCATCAGCTACGGCACACTCACCACCCCAAATAAATGCTGGGCTACTCTGGTGTTAACCACACGACCCCCACACTCAGCACACCCGCAGC